AGCAACAAAGATTGGTCAAATCAATCGCAAACTATGTACTAAATTCCTATTTAAAATAAGTACGAGATATTTCCTTATCTTTCTTCAAGAAATAACTTTTTTGCCACAAAAAACGCTCCAACAGCTATTTTCAACAACAAAATGATAAACAAACCATGGGCGTAGTGAAGAAAAGCATTTACTTATAAGTAAATTCTTTTAGTCAATTTTCTTCTGAAAGTAGTACAAACTAATCTGATGTACCTATTAAAGTCTACTTTAAGCTTTAAATCAATAAATCCTCAAAACTACTGAACTGAAGCTCATGTATTTTACATCATTATAAAGGGAATTGAAAGACCTTTAAAATAAGGTGTCACTCGACCCCCTTTCCATTTAAGATTTTATGGTTGGTGTCACCCCCGCCCAGGGGGCTGCACGTGTTAACGTGATTTTTTGCCAAACTTGTGGCCCCTCGAAAACAAAATCGACGGGTCTGAGCGTTTTTTCAAAAAAAACTGAGCTGCCAGTAAATGCGTCTGTTTCGTTTTCGATGCGCCACCCTGTATAAATACGAGCAAGAGTATGAAGAAAAAATGTTTTTTTGTTCTAACAAAAGTTGATAAGACACATCCGCTTTATTTTAAAATGTGTATAATAACGTATGTTTTTTGTATATCGTGGCCAATCTGTTCAATTACTTACATAAACAAAATGTATGAATCTATTTAGAAGAAAAAACCCTTCATTTTGCACATAAAAATAACGATCATCTTTTGAAATGGTTTGTGATTCACATCGGCAGTATAAACTCGTGTATTTTGCTACAAAATGCCCTTTGAACGAACCCTCTATATTGCTCAGTAAACTAGTAGTGACCGTGAGATAAACAATTAGAAAGTCTCAAAAACTACTTGACCAATCGACTCCAATTTTGTTGTTATTTAGAAGTATGAAGATTACGGATTTAATAAATTTCAAGTAGCTGTGTGAAATTGTCATCGCTTCAGCAACAAGTGCCAAAACCTGCATTATGCCTGGGTTTTCAGTCATAACTTTTTTGTCGAATAATAAGTTTTCCCGCAAAAATTTTATGCGTCCATATTTCAAATACCCCCTTGAACAACTTGCACCAATAAAACCAGACTTTACAATTATTTCGGGGAAATTTGCTAAGATGATTAGACTAGCCATCAAAGCAGATTTTTTCAGATACTTAAGTCAGATTTGTATGAAATTTGAAACACATGTGTTTTGCTATACGTCCTAATATTTGACTTTTAGTACGAATCTTTCATTAAAGATGTTCAATATGACGACCAGTTTCATTCCTGGACTTAAGTCAAATATTAGGACGTCTATCAAAACTCGTGTTCCACATGTCATTCAAATCGGACTGTCGGTTCCAAAAATATCTGAAAAAATGTGTTTTAATAAGAAAACTTTGACGTCCTCTTACGGACAAACGAAGCACTTCTGGAAGGAGGTAATCGACTTATGTTCAGTCTAAAATACGTGGTAGTTTTAAGTTCACGGAATATTGGGACACGCTGTATAAAGTAAGCAAAATCCAATTAAAAATAGGAGTATGTTTTTTGGCCATATGGTCCTGCCTAACCTATAAAAAGAGTAGCTCTGACATTTTTGGCAAAAACACTGACAAACAATACAAAGTCCTTTCAGCTAAAACTTGGCACGACTATACTGGCCCCATTTTATTAAGTGATCTCCATAATGGAGTTTGACTTTTAAGCTACGAAATTGCCCAAATCGTATTATTTGTTGTTTTGCGCCACCAAAAAAAAAACAGCAAATGTGAAGACGACAACGAACTTCGCCGAAATACTTAAAGTTTTTACAGGGGTTCCTCGTCTTGAGTTTGTCTTTACTAATAGTACAGGAGTTATGCGGTGAGAGGGTGGCGCACGTATTAGTTTGTCATCAGCTTATTGTTATTCTTCTTCAGAGTTAATAAAAAAATGGCTTTACGTAGGATAAATCTCCACTTCCCACGCAGCGCTGTTATCTGTTCACAGATGATTATGTTCATCAAAAACTTAACAACCTGAGAAAAAAGTTACTCAAACAGTCCATACAATAAGTCCGTAGAGATACTTTCTCTGCCCTACTGGTAGTCCATCTGGCAACGTGGCCTCTCCCCTATACCTAACCCGGTAGACGTGGCACCGCGGCCACCGCTTAGGAAACATTATGCTATGTCGTGGCCGTAATACCAGAACCCTTACCAGTACCGGCATGCGGCCGGAACCAAAAGCTGATGCGGACGTTAGGTACGCGATCGGTCTGCTGAGAACATTTTACGAGTTTTTTTGTACTTTTCAGGGCTTAAGTAGCAGAATAGCATCTTCAATCTGAACTTCGCCCTCAATGAAAGACGTTTATTATTATTATTATTATTAAGTCTAAGGGCTAATGTACAGGGAAATCTATGATGTTTGAAATATGCATAATAGATGGATAGAATTACCAAGGTTGGGAGCGTATAAATATATACTAAGTGACATATAAATCCGAACACCCAGTTTAAATGGTTTTATTTTAATAAAATTTTGTATAAGTACTTAATGAAGCATAATAAGTAAATGATAAAAATTTCAAAATGATTGCACTGCTTTAAAACCCTTTGACCTTTAATAATGTGTGGATGCACCCTGATGTGCTACGCATTCTCCAACGCGCCTAGGCATGCTTCTGATCAGGTGGTCAATGTCCTCCTGTGGTATCTCATTCCAGGCAACCAGCAACTCCTCTCGAAGTGCTTCTAGAGTCTGAGGAGGACGTTGCAAATTGAGCAATCTCCTACCCATCATATCCCACACGTGCTCAATTGGGGATAAGTCGGGAGATCTTGGTGGCCATGGTAACAATGTGACATCATTATGTTGAAAGAAGTCTATTGTGACTCTTGCAACATGTGGTCGGGCATTATCTTGTTGGAAAGTTGGATCTGCCAGGGTGTCAAGATAGGGTAAAAGATGGGGTTCTAGAACTTCGTGGATATAACGCTGCGCGTTCATGTTACCTCTGATGAAGATTAAAGGTGACCTGGAACCATAAGCTATAGCACCCCAAACCATAACTCCAACAGTGTGATGAACATGTCTTTCTACAAAAAACTGTGGATTCCTCCTTTTACCACGTCGCCTTCTAACCCTGGCATGACCATCGTGCATGCTTAAACAAAATCGAGACTCGTCACTAAAGATAATACTGTTCCATTCCTGATCCGAGAGTGACCGTTGTCTGCACAACTCAAGGCGATTACGTCGGTGTTCTCGAGTTAAAGGGAGGACCCAGTGTGGCCGGTATGAAAACAAGCCAAAACTTCTCATTCGTCGGTAACCACTTCGCATGCCAATAGGTCTTCCGTGTTCTGCAAACCATTCATTTGCAATGGACCTGGTAGTGGAGAAACGATCCCTTAAGGCCAATAATCTTAGGCGGCGATCTTCACGGTCTGTTGTTCTACGGCGGCGTCCAGTGCCCCTTGCTCTTTGCGTACGGCCTTGCCCGAAAAGAAAGTCCAGCTTCCCGAAGTCCCACAATACGGCCCCTATCAAACTCACTAAGTTGACGAAATCGTACAGGTCTCCGTACTCTAGGCATCGTAACCGATCGTAAAGGATGTCAAGAACCAAAATCCGCCAACGTTGATTCTTTACTGCGGCTGAGATATTCATTTTTAGAGCGTTAGTGAATTAAAAAAAAGGCAGTATAAAAACCGGAATGTCCAACTGATAAGGCTGAAAATTTTTTCACCAACTTTTATTAAAATAAAACCATTTAAACAGGGTGTTCGGATTTATATGTCACTTAGTATACTTACATCAAAAAATTGAGATATACCCTCCCCACTTCCATACAAGCCCCATCCCTAAATTTTTTACCTCTTTTCAAAAATAATTTTCTGAAATATCGAAAAACGAAGTTCGAGTAGTTTTTTTTTCATTTTTGGCCTTTTTCCGCCGACAGTGGCCGATTTTCAAAAACTACAAAGCTTTCTCGTCCTTAGCATAATAGTAATACTGTGTAAGAATTTTATCAAAATCTGAGCATGATGTATATGTCATATACCATCCAAGGTAAACATAATATGTAACTCATTTTAGAAAATGTTCGCGATTACAGTGCTTCCCCGCCAGTAAGCGGGGGAAGTAAAATTAAGGAACAGTATTAAATAAAACCAAGTAGAGCGCTTATACATCAGGTAGGCAAATTAGTGAAAGAATGATTATGTCATTTTTGGTATAGTCGTTTCTTGGTGTATAAAAAGAGGGTTTTTCTATCGCTTCTTGTAAGACTTTTTCAAGTTCACTGTACTCATTATTACGAACAATCGTCGATTAATTTACAGATTGAGAGAAAAATAGATGAAAGACTTCATGCTGTATATTTTGCCTCAACGGTCAGACAAACTCTATGTTCAATCTAGTTCGCTCTGTGGATCCGCTATTCGCTGTTAAGTTAAGAATACAAACATTTTTCATTACTGTTTTGCATTATTTAGAAACATTTACATAGCGTAAAAACCAACCGTCCAAAATTTAGAAAGAAAAATCTTTCTGACATCAATGACAGCTTGCAATGCCAATTATTACAGCCTGCTATGAAATGCCAATTTTGTTGAATCCTTCGTTGAACGTTCCTCAAAAAAGCGTTACTGTTTGTTTACAATCCAACGAGAAATCGTTTCTCAAACGGCATTCAGTCCTCAAGCAGCGTCTATAAATAAGACCCTTACTATTTTTGTAAACAACTTGAGAGAAAGGAAAAATGGACGCTGGCCAGACTTGAACTCGCATCTTCTCCGTTCCGTGGAGACGACCTGATCAATTAGTCTACAGCACCAGCTTAAAGGATCTTCCCCCACTTTCTAGTTGTGCCACGTCGTCTCGTGGGCATACACCACAGTACCACCGAGAGAGGACTGTAACCTGGGATAAGTTCATCCACAACAACGAGTATTTTTAGTAAACAACTACTTGAGGTATAGGCAAAATGGGCGACGACGGGATTTGAACCCGCATCTCCTCCAGTCCATGAAGCTGGCCTAACCAATTAGTCTACACCACCAGCTGCCAACCGAAATTCAGGATGGACTGCTAGAGTTAAATCCTACCCACGCCGTCTGTCCGTCGTTCTCGCAAGCTGCCTTAGTACCCCATCTGGTGCCGTACAAATGAAACAACCGGGTAGTTAAGGTATCTCCCATCGCTTTCTAGTGGCACCACGCCACCTCGTGTTCAGTTGGTAGGGTGCAAAATACTCGCTGTTGCACATGCGCTTATCCGAAAAATCGTATACAGGTGACCTTTACTATTTTTCTTGAAACAGTTGCATTATCATCTTGATCGTCAGCAAGACAATCAGTGCGTGGGCATTCAATAGCCTCTGACATCCTCCGTAATGATGGCAAGAGCAATAGCGTGAATGTTGTGAATGGATCCTGGCCTCGGATGAACTCTACGAAGCTTCTCTCTTCGACACGCTTCTCTGATTTCACACAGGAAGTGCCGCAGAACGAACAGGTGTCTGCTGCTGAGGTTGTCCGCGGGAGTACTTCGTGGTACCAGCTTATTAGTATGTACGCGGTGGATAAAAGAAAATCCGCTGCTTCACAAAATTAATGATCCATCATAACTATAGGAAAATTGGATGAGTCGAATGAAAAACGCAGACACTCCAGCAACTATTAGGAAGTTTAGTTCATTTTTAGCGGGAGTGGATAAGGGTGTAAAATACTTGTGCTCACTAATATCTTAGATTAACGTATTCAAATTCTACTTTATTTTCCATTTGACTGTACAACAGTGTCACACAAAAAAATAATCCAAAACGATAAAGCAACAAATGTCACAAAACAAGATGCACAAAAGAAACAATCATAGTTATTACTTAAGTCTGAAAAAAATCGTCAAGAGTAGAATGTCCCAATGCACTCATCAAAGAGAAGATCAATTAGACCAAGTAACTTAACAGCTTAATTTGCTCTTTTAATATTTCCAGGCCAGGAGCTGTTGAGCTTTCGAAAATGTTTATTTTGTTCATCAGGATGCTCTACAAAAAAGTAGTGTACGACAATTTTAATCCATTATAACATCCTTAAAATAATTACTTACAACGGGGAAATCCTCATTTGAGGCACGCAATAACGTACGTGACAATTAAAAATATCAGTTACCTCTTCGGGTATTTTTAGAGTTTACCTCTTTTCTTAATGGCTCAAAATACACGAGAATACACATAACAGTGAGAAATTCTAAGTTGTCCATGCCAACAACTATCAACTTACAAAGCTTGCTAGCTTTATGAAATAATGCAGCCTCCATTAGATAATACAAAGACTTCATGCTGGTTTTCAGAATAGGATCTTTTAGTGTAGAAGTAACAGTTGAAAATTCCAAAATGTCGAAGCTCCTTCTGCTTTATAATCCCAGAATATAAAAGCACGTTATAGTATGTTATATCAATCTTCTTCGTTTGGAAGGGTAATAAATTATGAGATATTCCCTTTGAAAAAACCATACATGAACATATCCAAGACAAAGCGCACAAAAAATTTAAAAGGTCTGGTGCTAACGAAGATTACCAAGAATTCGGCAGAATCAGGAAAATATTTAAGCTTAAAACCAAAGAGGCATATAATATCTATCTTCAAACCATTCAAAATCAGCTAAATGATGACCCTAAGTCTTTCTGGTCTTTCGTACATAGTAAAAACAACACTTCTAGGATTCCCAATAGAATGTTGTAGGGAAACGAGTCATTTGGTGATCCGCAAAGTATATTCAACGCCTTCGCTGATTTTTTCTCCAGCGTTTACTCAACTGCTAATGTCGATACTGAGTTGAACTTTGATTTCAGTCATAGTGGACTCGTCGACATTAGTTGTGAGCCAATATCAGATGAGGAAATTTTAGTGGCCTGTAGAAAGCTTAAAAGTAAATTGACTGCTGGACCTGATCAAATCCCATCTTTTATTGTTAGGGATTGTATCAGGAAATTAGTTCATCCTTTACGGGTTATCTTCAATTTAATCCTAACAACGACTGTTTTCCCCGATAAGTGGCAAATTGCCAAAGTTTGCCCAGTTCCAAAGTCAAAAAATTATCACTGTATCAGTGAATATAGGGCTATATCTATACTCAATAATTTTGCAAAGCTCTTGGAGATCGTACTGTACAACCGCATTTACCTCTCCACAAAAATAATATTTCCATCGACCAACATGGTTTTATAAGGCAGCGTTCAACATTAACAAACTTAATGGTATTTAGCCAATACTTGTGCGATAGATTAGACAATAGAGGACAGGTAGATGTGGTGTACACAGATTTCTCCAAGGCCTTCGATAGGGTCAGCCACAGTATTTTGCTCCGAAAGCTTGAGTACCTGGGCTTCAACAACATTTACTTAGCGCTCTTAACATCATATCTGTTTGAAAGGAAACAGTATGTTTTTTATAATGGCTACATATCACATGTTTATGTCTCCACCAGTGGCGTACCACAGGGTTCGAATTTAGGACCACTGTTGTTCATATTGTTGGTGAATGATCTGTGTGAATCTTTGGCTTGTTCTAAGTTAACGTTCGCAGACGACCTAAAATTTTATTCATCCGTTTCATGCTTGGAAGACTGTGCATTTGTTCAAGGTCAAATTAATAAATTGCAAAGCTGGTGTTCCAAGAATCAACTTCATCTTAATATAAGTAAGTGTAAAGTAGTAACTTTTTCAAGGAAAACCAACCCCATGGTATATAATTATACAATGATCAAACATGTTCTTGAGCGCAGTGAAACTGTGAAAGACTTAGGTATCAACTTTGATCAACATCTAACCTTTAATGAGCATATCAATCAAACCATTTCAAGCGCTTACCGAACCTATGGCTTCGTTATCAGGAATTGTAAATCTTTTGACGTTTTGACTTTGCAGACATTATACTTTAGCTTGGTTAGGTCTAAGCTTGAATATGGATCTTTGATATGGAGTCCGATTTACAAGCAGTATATTGATGTTGTTGATAAACTTCAAAAGAAATTTTTAAAATTTTCATGTTTTAAGATCGATGGCATATATCCTACTAGAGGTACAGAATACAACATCCTTCTTCATAAATTTGGCATTCAATCCTTAGAACAACGGCGTCAGCAATCAACAGTTGTAGTTTTATATAAATTACTGCATAATCTAATAGACTGCCCTACAATACTTTCACAAATACAGTTTCTGGTACCACGACTAACATCAAGGTATAATGTTCCTTTTTTATGTCAAAGAGCTAAAACAAAGTTATTGTTGAAAGCGCCTGTCAACATGATGTGTGTGAATGCGAATAAAATAGCCGATGTATGTGACATATTCTTATATAGCATAGGTGAATTGAAGTGCAAATTGCGTGCTCACTTTTGATTTATCTTACGTTTCTTATTTTTAAGCTATAGGTATATTTATTATTTGTTATTGATACATGAATTATTATTGTTTTTTTTTCTTCACAAGCTACCTCATGGTGATTTTTTTATAGTAGTTTGCTCTGTAAATGGTGTTAAACTGTTGGGCAATAAACGCTTATTATTATATCCTGTTTCTGATTTAATAGCTTTTTTGGGGGCATCATGCATATTATTAAAAGAACAAACATGACAATATTTCCTAACCACGTTTCCAATTTTTTATGTTTTTCTGTCGCAGAAAATATTTTGGCATATGATAAATGTTTCAGAGAATAATTAAAGCGTAGGCAAAAATCAATAATGGGATTGGAAAACCATAGAAATGTTAGTCGTATGAAATTCGCAAAAACGTGACGGTCTTTAACAAACTCTAATCCTACTAGCGGAGGCAGGTATAGTAGTGGTAATCTGAATCTATAACAATCCTGTTAGCCTTGACCGGTTGACGTTCAGCATACATAAGCTGCTGGTATCCCAGTGAGCTTGCTATACCGGAAAAACAATGATATCCCCCCACTCCCTTCACCACGTTCGCGCCGGTATTACCGTGAGGCTGCTGTTGGATAGTATCTCATCATCATTCTTCTTTTTGTTCCAACACTTTCACCGAGCCTGCCCGACAAAAAAATGAGCCCGATGTCGGACGCCGTCAGTTTGTTACAACAAACATCTTTAAAGAAGTAGTTGCACTTCCCATAGTCATTGTTTGCTTCGGTTTTAAATCAGAGTGATTTTCAAGGATACGTACCAACGCTGCTCATTTTAATGAGGGTCCGCTATTATCATAAATAGTTATCTGTGCAATTGATTAAATACATTTTGAAAGTGCAGTTGGATACTCGATGTTTATGCGAGACATTTTTCTAAAGGCAGTTTTATATAAATTCAGATTAAGTAAATTTAAAGAAAATAATTGTATCATACTTTCTTGGTGGCAATACCCCTACGAACATATTAGGCATATTTGAATCATATATTACCTCATATTTTTCTTTCGACTTGAATGATATGAAGAAATAATTTGTATATATGTAAAGTAAATCAGCCGCTGTATGTTATCGCGGCTCAAGCGAAGAATTTTTACCTTGACCGTTGAGAAAAGAAGGTCAACGATGCCTGGGCGATGTAACAAATTCGACGACCAGGGCAATATGATGTATCAAATACCAATAATCAAATTGGGGACAACATTAGGGCTGTAGTTAATCAGGTGCGGAATAACGAATAGACGTTCACCAGTCTACAGCAAATATATTTTTTGTGGAATGAACAATCTCATCTATTTTTAGTAGCTTTTCCCCAAGTAAATAATACGAGAGCTACGAAAGTTGGCCTCGATTATTTAAAAAAAACAATACGTTTTTTCAGATTCATATTCAAGGCTGAATTTATTAAATTGAGGATACTAACCTTTCCGTTCACATATATTTTGAGCTGCCTCTTATATGTTAAAAATAATTTTAGTTCCGTCAAAACATACAGTGACGATCAGAATTATGCAACAATAAATAGAAACATTTCTCTCAATATGTACCACCTTGAAAAATCTAGAGTAGGCACACATTTTTGAGGAATTCAATCTGCTGCCATGTAAAATTATTGTATAGGTATAGT